CGGTTCTCCTGCCCTGCAGGTACCTGCTGTGCACCTCCGGCGACTTCGTGAAGATGTACAGCGTAGCCACCGAGGAGACCGTCTGCATGATGCAGGGCCACGCCGACCCGGTGACAGGAATCCAGCTCAATCCCCAGAACCACTTGCAGGTTGTCAAAGGATCCTGGCGCTCAGCGGTGCCGGGCGCTTCGCTGCCCGCGCAGCGGAGCCTCTGCGCCTCGGCGGGGGCTCTCGCGGGGGTCTGGGGGTTACTCCGAGTTTGGAAACGCGACGGCAGTAATTTTTTCTTGAAAAAGTTTCTCAGCCGGCGTTTCTCCTAAATTTGCTTGGAAGAGTAAACGTCCTGTGCGTCTACTACAACAAACGCATAAAACGTCACATGAGCTGCACTTGTTGAAAGGGATGACTTTCTGCCTGTAAAAGCTCCAAATTTTTGTCGGTTCATTAAAGGAATCAACAAAAAAGGAATCTGAAGAAACTGGCATGTACAGAAGTTGGCATTTCCCTCTAATTGCCAGTTCTGTAGTAGGATACATGAGCCCCAATTTCACCACGTGCTGGGGCTTTTCTTTGAGAACTATAGATGTGAGGTAGGCAGAAAATACAGAGAAGCATAAGAACAACTCAGGGATGGAGATATGCTGGAGTCATGTCAGAAACAGGTGCGGATTTGACTAAGCCCCTGCTATTTCTCAGTCGCTTTTTGGCTCCTGGCAGTTTCCTTCCCCGTTCATTGCTGCTCCTGTTCTGTTTCTCAGATTTTCTGCTGTCATTTTCTGTATGTAAACAAGAATTACTTGCAGAGGCAGACTACATCTGATGCACATCATCAGAGCAAAATCTGAAGCAAATGTAATCATTCACATACTTGATATCAGTGCATACTCCACTAATTTTAAGTGGCTAAACAGAAATATATATGGTTTCTTTCATATTTTTTGAAAACGTGTGTTTCAAACTAGAATAACAGAATAATTTTCTTTACGCTTGGTTAGGAGGCAGTTTGGAGCCTTTCTGTGTCCTGTATTTTTGAAGTTTCAGCCATTCAGACCATCAGATCCATTTTTCCAATTCTTCAAATTTAAATGGGGATTTTTTGTAAAAGTTGGCCTTGATATATTGGTTTATTTTAATTTCTGTGGGTTTTTTTTTTGTTTTCTTCTTCTTTTTCAGCTTTATTCTTCTTCTCTTGATGGCACCATTAAGCTGTGGGACTTCACAGATGGGATTCTCATTAAAGTACGTTGAGTTATTCCTGTTGTGTACGTTTCAAAACTAGTCTTGACCTAGGGATATCAAAATAAGGATTTTTGCAGCTGTTAGTGCAAATGGTCACAGCTCAGTCTGAGAGTTGTTGTTCCACTATTAACGCAGCCTGGAAATCATGTTTTTGTGGAACAGGAGGCTTCAATTGATTTGTGTGCATCACTACAGAAATTTGTGGTGTTGCAAAATCTTTTTGGGGAAGAGGCAGGGGATGTGTATTGCCATTTTAGCTTTTAGTTTCTTGCTACAGTGCAGAGCCTAACGTAGCTCTTGGGGAATATGCTTCAGTTTTGAGTTATGCCAAAAGAAGTTGACATGATGGCTTGAAAACGTGAGCTGCTAACTGTATCCTGTCATTCCTGTTCTCTGCTAGAAAGGCACACAGCTATAGACAGCTCTTCTGCTTTGCAGCAAGAGTAAAGTACCTTTAGATTTTTCACTGAAGCTGATGTCTCATGTTTTATTTGTAACATTTAACATTATTTGTATTAGTCCCTGATCTAATAGAGCTCCTTTTCTTTGTCCTAAAATTGAGAATTATAATTAATACAATATGGTTTATGTTTAAAATAAAAAATGAATGTAAATGTTTCCCTAGCTGTTAAAACACAGCATTATTGATTCTGTTGAAAACTGTATGTTTGAATGTAGTAATTGTTGGGTTTGCTTCTCTCTTTTTCCATCAGACTTTCATTGTAGGATACAAACTTCTTGCACTGTACGCGCTTGCTAGTTATGAGGACTCAGTGTTTGCTATAATTCCAAAGAGTGGTGAAAGAGGTACAGTACAATTAACGTCTTCCTTTATAATTTAAATGTTTGTACATCTAAGCTACTATGTCAATGAATGCTGCAAGATCATTCTTTAATATATTGTCTTAAAAATACCTCTTAAATCTTATAACAGAAAATCAGACTGTACTCCTGCCTTTTTGTTTCGTGAGACTGTTTTCATTCTGAATCGGATCTGTTTTGATATTTGACTAGAAGAGTGTTTATATTCACTTTTGAAGCACAAACTGCATGTATCTGATGTGGCAGATGCAACAAATCTTTAAGCAATGCTTACTATAATGTAAGGTACACTGCAGTATTTGAGACTACTCTCCCATCTTAAGTGATGTTAACATATACAAACTTGTCCAATTTAAATACATGCCTAGATTTTTTTCCTAGAATTTTGTCTGAGAGAAACATAGATATAAATTGACCTACTCTTGCTACACTTCTGCAAGTGTCACTACAGAGCAAGAGCAAATATTACATTATTTTGCTTGGCATCTGCTTTACATTTGCACTGGAAAACCACTATCTAGCCCTCAACTTTGAATATTCAAAACATCTGAAACAATTGTTTTGTTTTGTTTTTGAAAAGTATTAACGACGTTTTTCAAGTATGTATCAAAAATACTGGAAGGTCTAAACATCCTTTTAGAATCGGTGCAAATCCCCTTTGTAAAGGGGCATATGTAAATGGATTATAAAAGCCTTTTGGTAACAGGTTTTTTTTCTGGTCAGATTCATTCCAACTGGTCTCGGTTAAGCTGACAAAAACAGCAGGCCAAGAAATGGAAGCCAAGGAATTGTCTGTGATTTTGGATGGCGTGGATGAGTCACCCAAGTGTACTGCGTTTGGAAGAGAAGTATATTTACATTTTCAGTTGTCGGGGTTGTTTTTTTCCTCAAATGAACTAGATACTGTTTATTCTTTTATACAAACCCAGTAAACATTCAGGCTTAAGTAAAACAAAACATTAAAAAATATATATATATAACCTTTTCTAGCATAAGTCTGGCATGAGTCCTGGCTTTTAGCCAACTTCTAAATTACTGATTTTAGAAAGGCTACCTCAACAGACTTAACTACAGCAGCACTTGGAAACAGCCATGATGTTCAGTAGAACAATCTAGTAGGACTAAATTTATTGAAGCACTGAAAAAAACTCAGAACATCTAGTGAACAGGGAAGAAAAGGAAGAAGTGCCAGAAAATCAGCCTATCTAGTAGAATATGCCAACTTCCCTTCGAAAGATGATAATCATAACTTCTAAGCAAGTCTTAAAATACCTTTTGATACTGAAGATTTTAAATAAAATAGCCTTGGGTACTGTTAGGTAAATGGGCTTTAAAAGTACATGTTTAGCTTTGTTTTGCTTAGATTTCATATGACAGTGTTTCTTTGTTTACCACAATTGATGCTGTCCTATTTAGAATAGCAAACGAGAAGGAAAGAAAGAAATTTTTAGTCTTTGGTTGCATCTCCTCTTTTCCAGTGAAAAAATGCATTTAAAGTATAGGAATGGATGATACTAGGGCTGAGGCTGGAAGTAAGTCTCGGTATTTCCTTCTGCTGGGTGTGCTTCTCTGTTGCTTTCTGCCTAAACTTCTTACCGCACTGATTGACAAAAATGAAGTTAAATGAATCTGTATGCTAAAAGACCTATGCGTTTTAAAAAAAAGAAAATTTGAAAGGAAACTGTTTATTTAACATCAAACTTGTATCTTATTTCTGCTAAATACTTTGTAGTGAAGATTGCTTGATTTCTACTCCTACCCTTTTCATAGTAACACAATCTGTATGTATGTCCTAAATTGTTGTTTTGCTATAACAGGGTGAATATGTGGCATCAGTAAAAGAGGTTAATCTCCAAGTTTATTTTTTTAAACGGAAGCAGATGAACAGGTAAGAGGGAACACGTCAAGTATTGCTTCAATGTGACACATCATAAATGTTTATACTAAGTGATGATGCAAGCATGTGTGATTTTATATTTGTCAGCAACGTTTTGGTTTTATGCTGGAAGGGATGGTTCCATTCTTCTGTCTGATATCCAACTAAATAATGCTGAGTAATTAAAACTAGCTTTACCTTTCGTTTGCTCCCCCGTTTGTTAGCAAGTTCTCTTTTAAGATCACACAGAATGCAGGCAGCTTTCTGCAGTCAGTTTATAAGAAGCTGCCTTTAAATAGAAAGTGAGACAGTATGCATTGCAGTGGTATTGGTAGCTTATCTTTTTTTGGTCAGGGCCGAATCAG